ATTTTAATGAAGTCACGACTTCATAATATGATCTCTTTCTCATAATTGACCATTTTGCCATTTTGGTTAATATTTGACTAAAAATCAACTTTCTCTATATTTCAAGTTCTTACAATTGAAAGAATTCGGTCGAATGTGGCAAACCTGTCCAAATGAATACTTGATCGGAATGGGATATTTAAATAATGAAATATATCCATGCATGTTCATAAAGAAAACCACTTCAGAATACGTGATTATTGTAATTTATGTAGATGATATAAATATCATAAGAACCTCGAAAGAATTATTTGAAACTACTGAAATCCCGAAGAAGGAATTCGAGGTGAAAGATCTTAGAAAAACATGGTATTGTCTTGGCACGCATATCGAGAAACGTAAAGATGGGATTTTACTTTATCAAGAAAATTACCCCTATAGAGTGTTACGACACTTTAGTCATCATTACACAAAACCGTCATCTACTCCCATGACCATTCGTTCATTAAAAATGACTTATTCCATCCAAAGGATGACGATGAAGAGCCATTAATCTCTGTGTGTTCATATATGGGTACAATATGTGCATTAGTATAATGGCTAAATACCATGGACATGACATCTCGTTTAATGTGAACTGCCTTGCTCGACACAACACTACACAACACCATACTGTTGGAATGGTATTAAAGATATCTTATGTTACCTTAAAGGTACTATAAATATGGGTTTATTTTATCCATATGCGTCATCGAGTGTATTTACCTTGAATGATACCCGAAATAACACGGTCCTTATTGGTTATGCCAATGCAAGTTACTTATCAAGCCCTTATAAGGGACGTTTCCAATCTGGTTCTCTTTACCATCAAGAATGTGTTGATATCCTGAAGCTCTTGTAAATAAAATCTAGTTTCTACTTCAACGAATCATTCCTAACTACTTGCTCTTTATGAGGCGACTAGAGTGTGTGTATGGCTTCGAGCTATAATTGGCCATATTCGAAGTACATGTGATTTTTCTTATGATCCCAATGAACCTGTTGTCATATATAAAGATAACACAGGTGTTATTGATTAAGTGAAACATGATTACATCAAAGGGGATAATACTAAGCACATCTCACCAAAATTGTTATTTACACATGAACAACAAACATTTCAAAAGATTGAAGTGCAACATATTGGCTAAGAGAATAATCATGTAGACTTGTTCGCCAAGTTACTACCAAATTATTCCTTCAAAAAACATGTCATGACTATTGGACTTAGGAAGCTCTTTAAGCTACCTAACACCCTGCTCCCGAGTTCAACTTAAGGAGAGAAAAGAAAGGAAATGGGTGGAAGTGAGAGAAAAGTAAAAGAATTTGGTGCTACCGAGTTTCATTAAAGGAAGGAAGTGGAAGGAAATGGAATGATCACTTTCCCTCGTAACTTTCCTTCCGATTTGGAAGGATTTGGAAAGAACGAACAAAATGTTTAACTTTCTTTCCATTTCTCTCCAACTCGGGAGCACAAAAGACAAATTTATTTTCCTTTTCTTTTCTCTTCTTTTCTCTCCTTACTTTCTTTTCTCTTCTCTTCTTTTCTTTGCTACAACTCGGGAGTAGGGTGTAAATGACATGTATTATGCACCAAGTTGTGTGCAAGTAAGGATTCTATCCTAATGTATGCTTACATATTGAGTGCATGTGAGGATTAGCATCCAATGAATGCTATGTACTCTTTTTATCTTCATTTCAAGGTTTTTGTCACATAGGGTTTACATTGACAAAGTTGTTTTTAATGAGACACAAAGTATATCTCATTTCACTAAAGATTGATGAAATCAAGGGGTAGTGTCCAGTTGAATACTTTAACCATTATGCACTCGATTATCATTCGTTTAGAGTTTTTTTTAATCCCCATTGAGTTTTCTTTTAACAAGGTTTTAATGAGGCACAACATGTATAGTTATTTCCCTTGCTACTATTAATCATTGGCCCTTATGTACTCTTTGTCCTTGGACCAATTTCTTCCTATCGGGTTTTCTTGTCAAGGATTTAATGAGGCTTAAATTATTTAGTTAATGTTTCAACTTATTTACTTCTGATATTGCATAAATAGCTCAAGACATCCAAATAGTTCTCTTTTATCTTTCAACCAAAGTTTCAGTCCTAAATGGTTTCCTCTTACAAGGTTTTTAACGAGACGAATGTTTAATGTATTGTCTAAATATACAAGACAAAGAAGTATAAGTATGACTTGGTATAAATCTAAGTATCCAAGAGAGAGTGTTGTAACCGATAGTATATCAATTGTTGCTTATATTTAAGTGTTTCATAAGTAGAATTTATGTATTTAAATCCTACAACCTTTTGTTTATCCAATATTTTTTCTATATATAATGAATTGTTATATATTTTTAAATATACTAATATATAATTAGAATGTTAAAATAAATATTTGAATTGAACTAATTTGTTAGGCTAGAGGGAGTGGTGCCACCGAAATCGCACTCCCTCTCCCGCCACGTAAGCGCCATGACACTTTTTACAACTCAAGTGTGGTTTCTTGCCACACCAAGGGTGTAGTGCCACAATTTTAGTTTTATTTTATTTTTTTGTTTTTTTGTTTGTTTTTTTGTTAACTATTTTAATTTAATAAAACTTATTTTTTTAATAAAAAACATAATTTTAAAAACATAATATTTCATTAATTAAAAATACAAATACCATACATTACTTAATTTTAAAAAAAAAACCTAAATATTTAGAAAAACAAAGTAGAAACATAAAACCTACAACTTAAAAACACACACACACACACAAGAAACCATTAAAAACTTGAAGAAGAAAAACTAGAAATTAGCCACGATTGATGTAACGGTTTTTCACTTCCTCCTTCATCGCTAAAACCACTTCAAGCTCACCCTCGGTCATATTTGACGTGTCCATCGCTAGTATTCGCATGTCGCTCTCCCTTTGTTTCCGAAGCTCTCTTTCAGAAGCAATTTTCAAAATCTTGTCAATTCTGTCTTTTATACCCTTCATGTCGGTTCCCATTTCTTTCAAATCATCTGAATCCGACGCTTTGCCTTTGCCTTTGCTTTTTGATTTGTCTCTTCCCAATGGTTGGGAAAGTGGTGAAACTGGAACAGGTTCATCTTCGTTCAGATCAAATTGAACACGAGCATCTGATGTAGTGTGGTCGGACTCAGATGTTTTGCGGCGTTTTGACCCACTATCGATATGTTGGTCAGATGTTTTGCTACTCAGCCATTTCCTGTTATCTTTCAAAAAATTCCAAACTTCAAGAAACTTGAAAGTCTTCAGATTTTCTTTTTTATACACTTTCAATGCTTTCTTCAAAATGATTTCATCGCTTTCTCCACTTTTCCATTGACGTTTTATGTTGTTCCACAAGTCATTAAACAACATGACTTCCTTGTTCATCTTCCCCCATTTGGAGTACACTTGATGTTTTGAACGGTATTCTCTACGGTTCATTCCTTTATGGAACCTGTGTAAAACGCGAATCCAAAAGCGGTCATGCTTTTGGTCTTTCCCAACCGTCGCATCTTCTGAAATATCGATCCAAAATTCTGCCAACACTAACGCTTCCAAAGGTTCCCAACATCTAGCCTCTGCCTTCTCTTTTCTTTTAGTTGCTGCTCGAGTGGGCTGAGTTTCTGTAACGAATTCCGGTTGAGAATCAGAAACGACCATTTCTGGTTGTGTTTGTGTTTGTTGAACAAACTCGGGTTGGGACAAAAAATCAAATGGATTAAAATCCGGATCGGGTTGTGGTAGTGGTGGTGTTTGTGGATGTGGTTGCCCGGATTGTTGTGGAAAACAAGGAAACATAACGCCGTAATGGTAATACGGAGGTGAGAAAATTGGTTGATCAAATGAAAGTATTGGGGTGTTGGTGTTTTTGACTGGTGTTTTTTATTTGCTAGGTCTTTTGGAAGAAGATATTTTTTCAAAGAAAATTGGATGAAATGATTGTGTTTATATGTGTTTAAAGGTTGTGTAAATGTAAAAATGGTAATATATATATATATATATATATATATATATATATATATATATATATATATATATATATATATATATATATATATATATATATATATATGGAGTAAATGGTTAAAAAAAATAATAATAAATAAATTACACGAATCTTTGAACTGTCAAAAGAGAAAAGGACAGCAACTAATTAGCACACGCGGTCTTTAATGGCCACACTGCGGTCTCGACCACACCAAACCACATCCTAGAAGCGGTGTTCGCGGCCTACGCGGTGAGCGGTTCCAAACAGCATACCACACCGAGCAGCAATTGTTAAATTTTACAAAGGGGTGTATATCAACTTTTTAAATTTATTATTGTAAGTGGCAAGCTAGGCATTTAGCCATATATATACATTGCGTTTCTTTGTTGGCTGGCTAATCACGAAAAAGAAAATGGAGAATATGAAATATGGCGAGGAGCTTGTGAGGGAATTTCTGTTCTTCAGAGGATTCACAAACACTTTGCAATCTTTCGAGAAAGAATTGGCTACAGATATTGGGAAAGGATTTCACAAGGATAAAATCTTTGACCTAATTTTTTCAGTATACATCCCTAAATTCCAGGCAGAAAATCTAATTTCCTTGCTGACTTTTTTCAAACAATGTTTTTCATCATCCGAAACCATCTTGCTTGCTACCTTGTCCAAATTGGAGATCTCTGTTCTTCGATATTACATCGTTCACGCCGTACAATCAGGAAGAAATGACAAGGTTATCGAATTTTTTGGAGTTCATGGCGATGATTTGCTGCAAAGGGATCATGATTGGATGTCGTGGTTTGGTGTGTCTTCTCTCCTTTCCTTTTTCTGCTCCTAGACTTTTACTTTCTTCGAGGTTTAACCCTTTTTTATGCAGCGATCCCGTATATCAAGAACCCTAGATTGGATCCCTTGTTTCGTGTCTACTTCTCTCGGGAGTGGTTTGATGCACTGCACCTTTCTCTTAGGAACTTCTTGAGTGAAATCTTCAATGGAACTCATATCCTTCAACAAATTTCCTGAATAGTTTGTCATGATTCATGAATTTCATTATCTCTTCTAATTTAAACACCAATGTCAATGCAAATTCTCCTTAACTAATCCACGCATTCCTGCATTGCTGAAAATCAGTTCAGAGAAACACACTGTGAGCCATCTCAAGAACGATATCAAACATTTAAACACCAGACTCTCACAACTTCAGGCTTTGTTGGAGGAAAAGGAGTCTCAATTACGTCGCTCCAGGAGGTAAGCTTCTTTCTTCCCCATTTCTCTGATTCCAAACACTGTCTTTTAGCTTCACTGATCGCGTGTCTTAATAACAGCAATCTTTCAACTTCCCGCCAATTAAGCATTGATGGTAACAATGAATCTATGTGCTCTACTACACCTTTACCTAAAGAATCCGTTGTTTCATCTGGTGAAGCTCATTCATCCACCACTCATTTGAGTGGGAGAAAGTCCTTGGAAAAGGATATTAATACACCTCAGGGTCAAAGTGAAAGCACTTCAAAGAGCAGTTATGGTGGATATGGTGATGAGAAGAATGGTTCTATTGGTAAGAAATTGTAGCATTTTGATTAATATAAAGAAAAATCAATTCTTTGATGTGATTTTTGAAGTGACTAAATCAACTATATGACAACAGAAACCGATGAATCACAGCAAGAAGAAGATTTCCCAGAAGTGAAAGTAGACTTTCAGGTGCAAATGCAATATGCAATCCCTCATTCATCAAAATACTTGAATTTTGTGAATTGTGATTGTCATTTATATGCACCTTTTGTTACTTTTTGTTTTTCAGGAAACTTTTTTGGGCCACACAAGCCCAATTAGTTGCTGTAGGTTTTCTACATCTGGAGACAACATTGCAAGTGCTTCTGTAGATGGAACAGTTAGGTAAAAAATGAGATAACTTTAAAGTTTATTGCTTATAAAGACAATTCAAAACAAGATTTAGTATTTTCATTTTCTTATTATTATTTTTTTTTTAAATGAAGGGTATGGACATATGACTCATCAACTTCAGCATCAAGAAATGCAACAATCTATTGTGGGGCAGAGATCATGTCACTAGAATGGGATTGCAAATCTGATCGATTGGTATAAATTATAATTACTAATTTAGTGTTTTAGTTTCCACATTTACCCTTTTCATAAGTAGATGATAAAGATTAGTAATAATATTCGATAAAGCTTCTCATAGGCACTGCTGATGGAGGAATAAAAGCATGGAATGTTGATGCAAAAAGAGTTGTTTGTGATCTCAATACAACTGAAGCATTTCCAAGGTTTATCTTTATCCCTAATACGATTAATATTCTTATTTTTTTTTTGTTTCCCAAACACCAAAATCTCTTTATTTTCTTTTTTATTCCTTAAAATCTTTTTGTTTATTTGTATTTCAGTGTTCTTGACCTAAAATGCAGCCCAGTTGAACCACTCTTTGTGTCTGCAGCAGCTTCCAGAAGGTATTACTATTTAACAACTTTAGTTGAAAATTATATAAAGTATTAACAGTTTTATTAAAATATTTTTGTTGTAGAAATGGCACAAGTTTTATAGATAAATTGGGATTTGCATCATTAACTGTTTGGAACATGAGGACATGGAAGCCAATGGTATGTTATATGTATTTGTAGAAAGAAGTTGCATCTATTCACAACAACAACAACAATAATAATAATAATAATAATAAATATTAAATATGTGCATTTTATTAAAGACAGTGCTTCCACTTGGGAAAGATCCACCTGCTATCACCTCACTGTGCTTCAACCACAATGGAAAGATTCTAGCAGCTGCTGCTACTGATGGAATGATTCACATGTTTGGTATCCTTAAAAAGATTATATTTTTTATTTTTTTTAATAAATGAGTACTCAATTTTACAAAAAAGAAAGAAAATAAAAAATCCTTAACAAGACTCAGATATGTCAGCAGGCCTACAAATAACTGGATGGCCAGCTCATGATTCTGCTATCAGCTCTGTTCTTTTTGGGCCTGATGAAACTAGCATTTTTAGCTTGGGTATAGATGGAAAGGTGAAGAATTTTTTATATATTTTTTAGGGTTAATCTCATAAAAGACCTCAACTTTATTTTTTTTCCTCAAAAAGACTTTACATTTTTTCATTTTTTCCGATTGGCCCTTTTAGTCATTTTTTTTTTCCGAAAAATTTGTAAAGTGTGATGGGGTTTTTGAGAAAAAGTAAAAAAGTTGAGGGTTTATTTGGAAACAGTTAGAAGGTTGAGGGGGGTTTTCGAAAAAAACTAAAAAGGTTGAGGGTTTATTAGGAAACAGTCAGAAGGTTGAGGGGTTTTTGGAGAAAAACTAAAAAAGTTGAGGGTTTATTAGTAAATAGTTAGAAGGTTGAGGGGTTTTTTTTTGAAAAAAAGTAAAAAAGTTGAGGGTTTATTTGGAAACAGTCAGAAGGTTGAGGGTTTTTTTCGGTGGTTAATCTCGAAAAAGAGTAAAAGACCTTATATTTTGTGTGTGTGTGTGTTTTTTTTTTTTCGGATTAAACCTCAAATTTATTTTTTGCATTAAAAAGACCTTGTTTTTTAATTTTTTTAAATTTTTTCCGATAAAGCCCTCAAATTTGTATTTTTTTCCAAAAAAAACCCTCTACCTTCTAAATGCTTCCAAATAAACCCTCAACTTTTTAATTTTTCTCAAAAAAACCCTCGCATTTTGCAATTTTTTTTTTTGAAAAAAAAAACGACTAAAAGGGCCAAATCAGAAAAATCAAAAAATACATCTTTTTCAGACAAAAAATAAACATGAGGTTTAATCCGGAAAAAACACAAAATATAAGGCCTTTTATGAGATTAACCCTATTTTTTAACCTTAAAAATTACAAAGTAATATTTTATTGTTGTTTTTGTTAGGTATTTGAGTGGAGCTTACAAAATCAAGGTAAAGTTCTTTGGTCAAGAAATTGCAACAGGTATTTAAAAAAAATAAATAAATCCGACCATTTTTTTAACCTTTGTAGTTTATATGATTTAAAAAAATAAATAAAAATTTATAAATTATTATGTAGGTTGAGTAATGTTGAGAGTTCAGAATGTTATAGACATGAAATGGCTTTAGATGCAAATGGTAAACGACTTTTAGTCACATCTGATTCAGTCAGAGCACCAATATATCAGGTTATTAACACCAACATATTTTTATTTATCATTATCATTATCATTATAATTATAATAAATAAATAAATAAAAGTTTCTTAAATTTTAAATATTTATTTATGTACCTCAGGTTCAAAATGATATGAATGGGATGAAAAGCCTTCCTCATAGTGCAGCCATATCAACAGTAGATTGGCACCCGACCCTGCCCATTTTCCTCACCGGGTCAGTGGACAATTCCGTCCGGGTCACATCTATTTTATAATTCTCTTTTTTTTTTTCTTTTTTTTTTTTTTGAGGTTAGTGAATATAAAATGATTGATAAAAATGGATTACTTAAAGTACATGACGTGTAATTTTTTTTTTTTTTTTTTTTTAAATTATTCTCTGATGTATGATTGAGAGTGGTGATGGGAATTAGATTAAAGTATGATTATGGAGGTTGGGCATTAGAAGGAAGTGAATATAAAATGATTGATAAAGATGGGAGTAGTTGAGTATATAGATAGGATCTTTGAATGTGAATTTAAATATGTTTGATACCATTTTTTTAGGTTTTGAAGAAAGTTGAATGTTTGTGTTGTAGATTGAGGGGGTGAAAACAACTAATGCTAATAAAACGTGATTATAGGCTAAAAGATGAGAGTTTTAGGAATGTTTTCTTTATAAGTAATTTCGAACAAACAGAACAAAATTACAAAGAGGATAACTCAAAGGAAATGAAGAACACACGTTTAAACCCTAAAAACATTTTCTAATTTGTAGTGTATTGTATAAACACTCACGGATAGTGAGGAATGCTAATAGATAAGTTTTAAAGTGAAAGGATATCTAATGGTAGTTATTATTATTATTTTTAAATAATTTATAAGGTTAAATATTTGAAAAAGCTTTTTATAATTGGAGAAGAAGACTTTTGAGAGATGTCACTCTAAACATTTATTTTTATCTAACCTTCTAATTTTCTTTTAAGTTTTGTCATATTTGATTGCTACATTTAATAACACTTTATTTTATACCTTAATTATATTTAGATATTAGTTTTTTTTATAATTGAATAAAAATGAATATATTTAATAAAAATGTTACACAATTTAAAAGAAATTGTAAGACTCAAATTTTAAAAGTATCAAACATATAAAAACATTGTTTTTTTTTTTTTTTTGGTGTATAAATGTATAAATATGACACGTTGTTAATAAAATGTTAAATATCCTTTTCAGAAAAAGTACCTAGAAATACTCGAAAATATGACATATTTTAGTAAAATTGATAAATTATATGAGAGTACTTAATAAAACATTTAATATAAGATAAAAGATAAGTTATTTAAGTTTAGGAAAAAAAACTTTTAAAAAGGTTAACCATTAGAGATGGTATTTTATAAAAGTTTTTGGTTAGATAAAAGTTAGTGGAAAGATATGTGACAAAAACAATTATAGATTCTCTAACTATCTCTACCTTCATACTCAAAGTAGTTGCCAATATATAGAGAGTAAGGTTATGTGCTTTAAAACAGGAATCAAATCGAAAAAAAAAATGGAGTTTACACACTTGATTCAGTTTATGTATATCAGTGGTAGAAGATCTTCGAGGATGATCTTATCAGTCTTGATAAACATGATGTGATTAGCACAACGTGACATACATAATATGTTTTCTTCAATAATAAAATATGACTAACAGATTTTACATTTTGAGGTTTTAAACAAAAGGACAACTAAAAAAAAAAAACAGTTAAAGAGGAAAAGAAACGAACCATAAATTAAACATGAATACATGATCAATAATGTGATGCATTGGCAAATTAAAATAATAATAATAATTTGCATATTTTTCAAAAGTAAATGTCTATAATGAAAAACAATGAACTAAAATAATGTATATTGATAGCGTAATAAATTCAACAAGAATAATTCGTCAACAACTTTAAGTTTTTGTAACAAAATTTACATCGAGATTGAATATTAAAAATAAATTTTACCTTTAAATTTAACAAAATTTTGTAATGAACATATTTACATTTTCCTCCTCAAAATCCCATATGTTATGCAAGAAATGTCGCCCCATAAATCTTTTTCTTAATTTTTTAATTTTTTTTACACAAATTTAGCTTGAAGGATCCTCAAACGTGTATCCCTTCAAATCAATAGTCATAAATTTTGGAGTAAGGTCTAACATGCATCTCTCCGACAATATTCAATGTCATTTATGAAATGTTTGGCTGTATGTTTCAAAAACGGTTTTACGAATTAATATTATATAACGGTATATATTAAATTGAAGGAAAGCTACGTACTTTTAAATTTATTTTTAGTAATCATTTTTTTTTTTACAATTCCTTCTTCAAATTTTATTTTTTAATCATAACAAATCCAAAAATAATTATAATAATGTCCATTATACATTTGTGCAAACATAATTATTTTTACGAGAAAAAAAACTAATATAGGCTTTTATAAATGGTGGTTATAAAATAGCCTAAAAATGTCGTACTTCCTCAAAATAGCTCTCTACGAAATTCACAATTGCATATAAAATTAGTTTTTTTATATGTTCCCCATAAAAAAAACATCTTGCAAAATTGTTAACTTTTTACAAAACATCTTAAATTTTTATATTATTAAAAAAAAAACACTTTTTCTAAGTTTTTTGGTGTAAGCATACTTAAAAACCATTTTCACCGGTCTAAACCCTTCATAGCTCAAACACTTAATACTTTGTCACCATGTTGTTAAGTTAAATTATAATCTAATAAATGAAAGTTTTTTTTTTTTTGATCACATGTAACACTCTCATTTAATTTGCTAAATATCATTTTATGTTATTTTGAATTAATTTTTTCCCCATGTTATTTTATAAGTTTTTCTATTTTATTAAATTCTACATAATATTTTAATGTAATAATTGCAATAAATATAATAATAAATGGATATCAATTTTAATTAACGAACTTACTTTTTAATATCAAAATTTTCAAATTAAAGCTTATTAGTTTACTTTGTTTATTTATTTAAATTATTTGTTTAAATTTAAAAGATTAAAAACATTTCAATTATAATATTTTTTTTTAATTTTCTTATAAATTCAAAGTTTTCAAATATTTTGATATTTATATTTAATTTTTTAAATTAACCTATTTATTACATTGATCTCACAGTGTCTACATTTAATTAGCAATTACATTTATTGTTGGTTAATAATATTGAAAATAAAATGTTCAGTTTAAGAAAATGTTACAAAGATGATATAAATAAAATAAAAATGCCCTAAACATATTGGACTACAAAAATCTATCCAAATAAACAAAATTTTAAGCTATTTTTTGACAACTATTATCAATTATGAAGGCACTAGAGTTGTCTTTTTCTTAAATTCTTTTTTGTTTTCAAACAAAAACCCTTTTTAGGTTAACAATCAGCACTAGTTTGAAATTGAATATTAGGTTTGTGGATTGTAATGATGATACAGTGATTTGCAAAAAGCACAATCACAAGCACACACGATTTCTTTGTACTCGATGTCTCGATTGATTAGTTGAATTGTCGTAATTCATGATTGATGATTCATGATTCATGATTCATCAGCCTTCAAATTCAATCACAAATCGCATCATTTGATTAAACTCCCTTCTTCTTTTTGTCACTATCTCTATCTAAACAACTCACTCACACCAACTGAGCCAACGACACTACCAACCAACCAGATCGTCACTGCCCACCACACTATACTTCGCAAAATCTATAAACCCATCTCTCTCTTGAGATCTACATTCACACACAGATAGATCCAGTGAAAGAGAGAGAAACTCGACGGTGGTTGCGATGAGGGAACTGGCCACTGAGAACATGAACGGCGCCTCGTCGTCACCAACGCCACCACCACCGCAGGCTCTGCTTGAAAGACTCAAAGATTATGGCCAGGAGGATGCGTTTGCGTTCTGGGATCAACTCTCTGCTGACCAACAAAACTTTCTTATTCAGGAGATTGAGGTTTTCCTTTCACACCAAATCATTTCTAGATCTCTCTCGTTTTCAATACACATTGCATTTATTAGTTGCAGCCGTAAACTAGTTCAATTGGCTTTGGATTGGTGATATCAGTAATCACTAATCACTGTCAATGCCAGATCCCGCACAATATAGGATAATCCTTTTCCCTGTTTTTTGAATTCGTGGAAGCATCGTCATCGTTACAAATTAGGAAAAATGTACATTGGATTTGTGGTATTGTGTAAAGCAAACTGCGTATATTTGCAGAAGTTATTAATATCATTGGATTTAGTAAAATCACTCCTATCTCTTCTTCTTCTTTCCTTCAAAATCTATGTTAATTCGTTACATTCTTTTCAGAGTTTAGATCTTCCAAGGATTGATCGAATGATTCACTGCTCGCTTCAATCACATGGTTAGTCATTTCTTCATCTTCCTTTATGTTATTTCGTAATCCATTTATGTTTTGATGAAGTTAATTGATTATGTGAGTGATGATGATACAGGGCTACCAACAGCAGCCATAGAACCAGTGCCAGAGGGTTGCGTGTCAACTGTAGAAGATAGAAAGCTTGAAGATAGAGAAAGATGGTGGAACATGGGATTGAAGGCCATTTCAGATGGGAAATTAGCTGTATTGCTTTTATCTGGTGGACAGGTATATCTTTATTTCTACTTCTTTATACTTCACTTCTTTCAAGTGTCAGACTTATTTACACACACATTGAATTGTTTTTGTTCATAAAGCAAATACCATATTGATCATGATCCACAAATTTATAAACCAAGGATTTAGTTCAAGACATGTCTCAATGTTTTCTTTTCTCACACTATTATGGAAATAGAAAGTGTAATGAGTTTGTTTTCTATATGAAATGATTGTATACAATGAATCTTTCTATCTGTTCTTAATCTACTTAAAGGATTATGGAAACTATATGATGTTTCCTTTTGCTTTTTGTTTCTAGAGATGCCCACTAATGACAAAAAATCATAATGAATCCATAGCAAAAGGGGGTGGAAACTGGAAAGTAAATCATTCTTTATGAAAAGTGCATAGTGAATGAATAGTTAATGTTTACATAACAAAAACTTCATTATTTTTGTGTTATTATGATTCTTTTATCATAAGATAATGTGTACTGATTTACCTAAAGAACATAAAATGTCATTTATCCTAATTAAATGGAGGCAGAGTTGTAAATAGAAAGAGGTCCTTTTCAACTATTCAAGTAAGGGTAAAAGGGTCCACTATGTGTCAATGTTGGGGCAATTATAGGTTCATAAATCTTCATATATTTAATGTGACATCTACCATTGATATTAATGTTGTACTTTTTTGGAGTGTCATAGAGTAGTTTAAGCCTGTGAACATGAAGCCTTT